TGACTAGCTGTTTTCTTTCTATCATCTGAAGGTAAGGGACAGTTAATGTAGATATCTGTTTTGTAGCTTTGCGTTGATATCCGAAATAAAACAAGACAAATCGAATTAGACTTACTTGACAATTATTAACGTAATCTGTTTTGTACTGGCATATGCTCATTACAAGCTTTTTTTTTTTTTTGGCTTAGTAGTTGAAAAATAACCAAATTAATAAAATAAGATATATTGGCCTGGGTATAAGAAACCAAATAATAACGGACTACTATACAACTTGTTCCGTTCAATAAATAATTTTATTATCTTTGTAATACATTTAAAACAGTACACACCAACATCGGAGTAAGCTATGAATATTTCAGTTGTTTCAATAGAATATACCGTTAATAATAATAGGCCAACCGCCTAACAGATATGTTCTATATGTAAATCAGTACTGGTGTCATGAGGAATTTAAATTATTGCCTAGAAAAATTCCTTCCGATCTGTATCTGTAATCTTTTATAGAGTTACACGCACGTGTTAAGTTTAAATATATATATATATATTTATATACATATTTTTCTAAGCATCAATTTTAGTGTTATTTTTTGTTTTTTACGAGTTGTCTTACTCACAACCTTATTTTACGTAAATGCCTTAAGCACAGCTGTATATTCGCATAAGACATGGTATTGTTCTGAGAAAGATTCTTTATCAAACTGTCAACTGGAGAAAATATATTGTCAGCGTAGATATATCTAATCTAATAAGGTTTAAAAAAAAAGTAGCCTCGCCACTTTGAAGTGTGTAGAATCAGAAAGTTGTTACCAGGTCCATGCAGTTACCGGCTATTCTGAGTTTAAAATTCAACCTTTATACAAAATGAGTTAATAGTATACTTCGTGTGTTATGTAATGCGTTTGATAGTACACTCGATTTTAATCTTGATATGCGGTGCCCAAAGGAAAACATAAAAACTTTTTATTAAATGATATCCTCTACTTTGGAATAGTTAAGATTTTGTTCAGTAACAAAAATTATCTGTTAAGATTAAATATCAAACAGAATCTACACTAAGGCTAAAGCTATGTGTTTGTAGAAGAGATTTATGGGATTAGAAATTAGGTTTAACTAGAACAAAGTTGTTAACTTTTTTTTTTTTGCTTCCTGGCTATATTAATATCTCCTACTTTGTTCTAGTTTTTTATTGATTTCTTTTTAAAATACATATGTATCATAACAATAAATAAAGTGAAAGTTGCCTGTTGTAAAGTGTCAATAAACGATGACGAAATTTCACGTTATTTTAGATTAAAAAAAAAAGAGATTCATTACGTTCGAAAAATTGTTCAATATTAAAAGTTTAAAAATGAGATGTAAATGCAAAAGAAAAGGTAGTAATTTAACCAGTTTTATGTTAATTTACAACAAGATGCTCCTTTTCATTTATTGCGTACTGATCAAAGCTGAATTCTGTTACCATTCAGTATTGATACATTGAAACAGATAAGTTAATTATTTTAATGCATACACATATACATATTACTAGATTGAAGTAGTGGCCCGAACACGTGGGAATATAGTGTGGCTGTTTAGCTGGCATTACTGTTCACCTGGCAAGTACCACTGTTTGTACGTATAATAAATGTCATTACAAAGAAAAAGAAAGAAATACAATTGTGTATATTGTCATATGCATCCGGTGAAACCAGTCATCCTTGCCACTTTAACAAGGTCTCATTGACACCAACCATGCGTAAGTAGCATTGTTTCTATTTAAAAACTTTTTTCTCTCTCTTTCACTTCAGTTACTTTTTCATCAACTCATGTTTGTGATTTAATGAAGAAAAATATTCATCAGACAATACTCATCGTGAACTGGTTTTGACCAATCATCTTTTTTTATATTGAAATTCTTGTTATATTTCTCGAACTCAAATATTCCACGGAATCACTCATTTTAGAAAAGAAAACCAGTCAATTGCTACCTAAGTTGAAACTGTCAGAGAATTTTAATGTGTAAATTCGAATTTCGTCTTGTTCAGCGTTGATCTTCTTCCTATAACGAAAACATAGCATGATTTCCTGTTTGTCTGAATTAGTGGCCAATGTCATCATAGGTTCTGTAACACTCAAGATAGCAGATTGTGTAAACTGCATGACTTTGTTTGCTTGTCTGCTGTACAGTCCAAAGTTACACGATGGACTGTTTGTGTTGTGCCCACCATGGGTATCGAAACCCGATTTTTAGCGTCGAAGTCCAGAGACTTACCGCTGGGCAGCTTCGTGACAATGTTAATTCTCCCACGATATAATCGTAAACATTTTTTTTTTTAATATACCATGGTTGGGGGCAAATTTAATGATATAAAATGCAATAATGGTTTGACCTAAGCAACCAATAAGGTAATTATGACTCGACTCAATTCAACATTTTAGGACACTGAGCGATAGGCAGTGCTCGAAGGCCTATATAAATGTACACTGACAAGATTTTTTGTAAACAGCCTGGTTAAAGCTTTTTCTCTGCGAGTTCTTAAAATGTTTACAAAACTAAAACTAACCAAGCGGAAATTTCGGCGAGAACGACAGTGCATTTCACTGCTTTAATAACTTAACGTAAATGCTGTAAAAACCTAAGTCTTTTAATCTTTGTGGCAATGCTTCGTGAAAGTTCGCGACATTTAAAAATAAGAGAAAAAGCTGATGAATGTGATAAGTACCAGCTTACACCGATAGTGTAATTATTAAACTGTTGTACACTCTACAAATATTAAATTTGTGACGTTAATGTTTGAATTTTTTCTTTTGCAAATACACGAACTGCGACTAAGTTCAAACGAAGCGAAATCACTAAATCAACCGATTTGTAGATTAATTACTTATTTTTACGTTTAAGAGACCTTGACAAATTGGAAATTTTCTGATTAAGAGGTATTTGTATTTATGTTAAAGCTACCAAGACTATCTGAGGTTGACTGTGGCTCTTATAACGCACCCACAACTTAAAGTTGCGGAGAATATTTTGTGGTACCGCACGGATTCGAATCCTAAACTCAGAGCTCTACCACGGAGCCAACTCGCGTTCCTGACGAAAAGGAAAATGTCGGCTTACTACGATAGACATTCAGTTGTTAATACGATGCTCATTACTGAATAGAGATTAATAAAAACGAGAGGGAATCCTCAATAGCCGCCTCACTTGAAACTTTTTTAGGCAGGATTAGAGTATATTAATCTACGTGACCTCCCCCTCCCTTTTTTATTAGCTATAATTTTGTGCGCCAGCAATACCAAGCGTGGGGCGCACATATATCCGATTCGATTCTTTATTATACTCATCAAAATCTCTACTAGCATACCCTCAAATTGAAATTATTTTTGGCAGGATTAGAGTAAATTAATTTATGAGACCTTGGACGGGTCAATTACATCAATCGAAAAGTTTGACCTCCTGAGTCCAAAACTGTAATTATTTATCAAGTCGATCAAGAGATGACTGGCAATGAGCTAAAAGGTTGTATTTGATAAAAACTCGGAGGCATTCTATAAGCCGCTATGCCGCGACTAAAAATCTAGTCAATACAATTAACAATGTTTTACCATGTCTAAAGACAGTTTGAAAATAATGTAAAGTGAGGAAAAACTACAACTTTAAATCCTGGAAATAAGAACTTTGGCGTGTTGTGTTAACTCCGAGAAGTAAGTGACCCTCTCGGAAATGCTACTTTATTTCTATGATATTTCAGCTAGTATTTTAAAGCAGAAAATTTGCTGCATGTTTTCTTGCCCTCGTATTACACACATGATCACAGTGAACGGGGCTTGGGGTGAATTTATCCAATTGACATTTAAAATTTTAAAATAAGTATTTTTTAAACCAAACATTTTTCTTAATATTACTGTAAAATTGCCATTCAGAAGTAAACCTACTCTCTTGCCATAGTCGTTTTGTTCAAATTAGGAAAGAAATACGTTTTCATAAAAATTATTACAAATCATTAATTAAACAACAACCAAAATTACGAATCCGCAATGTATGTTACGTGACTTTTAGCATTGCAATGACTTGTTATCATCATACTTATTTGAATACAGGTTAATCGAGTACAGCAGTATTCTTAGGACCAGATTTTGTAATGGGGAAGAAAAGGTATTACAACGTTTTCTTCTTTTTTTGATTTGGTTGATGTTTTGATTATAGCAGAGCAGTGAGAAATTTTGCTAGCTGATAGGTCTCATAATCATCAAAGTAACGCTTGCTTTCAGCTAAATGTGGTGCGCGTGGAATGAACCCGTACGACCCAGTACTAGTAAGTGGAAAGTGGTTCGAGTTACAACTTCCAGCCGCCTGTGCAAAGTCGAACAACAATTAAACATGAGACTGGAACATCTTGCTGAAAATTAAATAAATAAATAAAATATAAGCGCGCAATATCTGTAAGCAGTTGTTTTGAAAATTCTGACAGGGGCCATTTTTTAACTCCAGTTTGTGGAATGTTAAATTCAGTAAAACTCGAACATCTGGTTTGTTTATCCCAAATATCTCAAATCATTGATTTTAATGTTTATACAAAACCTACTTGGAAGACTTAGTTTACTATGTATGTGTTCTATTAGTATGAATCTATATACAGAACGTTTAATAATAATAGGCCCTATTTGTTGGACTGTAGTGGGACCAGCCACAGTGATTCTTTTTATATGCAATAAAACAAAACGTCTATCAGGGGAGTGAGGATATCATAGTTTTAACACAACATAAAACACCTGGTAAATACAAAAAATATTATTAGTTTCAAACTTAATTTAATGTTGTATAATTTTTTTTTTGGGGGGGGGGGGGTTGAAGGGCTTTAAAGCTACAGGAGCTTGTCAATTCACTGGCAACATGCATACAAAGATGTTTCACTTACCCTAGATTTAAACAGTGCAATTATCGAATTATGTTGTGCCCCAAATTTTTCATCAATTCAGCACATATGTTTGGAGAGATTTAATTTTCTTTGTCTTTCTTGTAGCCATGAAACCAAAACCACTACATGGAAAGACCCACGTAAGAACCTTAGTGTCGGAACCTTGACCACTTCAAGAAGTGCTAATCCTTTAGTGTCAACATCCTCTTCTGGTGCAAATTTACTGCCAATAAACCTGGGCCCACTTCCAGAAGGCTGGGAACAGGCTTATACACCAGAAGGTGAAGTGTATTTTATAAATCACAATGACTGCACCACAAGTTGGTTTGATCCACGACTGAGTAAGTAATTTAAGTAAAAAAGAGGTTATCATTTCATTTTATAGATCACTGATTAGGCCTGGTTAGGAGAATTGTATTCAGTCTTGGGCTCCTTACCTCAAGAAGGACACTACATTTTTGGAAAGGGTTCAAAGAAGCTACTGGGATGATACTTAGGATGGAAAAGTTGTCTAATGAAGATAGTTTAAAGTCTCTGAAATTGTTTTCTCTTGAAAAAAGAAAAGTTAAAGGGGATCTGATTAAGGTGTTAAAGATTTTTAAGGGAATTGATAGTATCAGTCCATCACATTTTTTCACATTTCATGGTGAGAATGGTAGGACAAAAAGACACAAATATAAATTTTGGTAGGATAAGATTCATCTTGACTTCAGACAGTTTTACTTTTCATATAGGGAAGTGGGTTACCTCTAATTATGTGGAAGCAGTTAATTTAAGGGAAGACTTAATAAATACTTGAATAACATGAGTGGATTAGATTTTTTATTTCTTTTTTTTAAGTGGATTGGACAGTCTTGATGGATCAACAGGTCCCTTGTTGCCCTTAAATGTTATATTATTGTATTATTTTGTGTTTCTTTTGAATCTTATTATTGCTTTTTTAATATTTGTTTCTTGTTACTTTTGCATGAATTAACATCTTGAAAAAAAAATATGATAAATAATAAACATTATCATAGTACCCTTACACCCTCCCAAATGTATAGAAGAGTTTCAGACTTAGCTATTTTTCCGTTATTCTTCCAGTTATTTTTTGTTCATTCTTCCCCTCTTTATTTGTATGTAATTCACTCATTCCTCCCATTATTGGCTTGCCTATAAATTTATAAATTGCTATCAATTCCATTCTTTCTATATACAATCATTTAAACTATTTTTATATTTCATTCATCTACTTGTCATTTTTGTACATTTATTCTATTCTTTGTGAAAAACTATTTTTTTTAATATTTAACTCCTTCCATTGTGATTTACATTCATTTATTTTCTTTCCTTATATTATTATACTCATTTCTTTGCTCAATAAACTCTCACTCTCTTCTTTACATTTTGTTCAGACACTTTCTCTTTCATTTGCATTGTGAAATATATTTGCTCTTACTTGATAACAAATCCCACCAAGTGAGAATTGCAGCTTTGAACTGTGTTCAATTCTTAACATTCTCGTGAAGTTAATGATTATTTATCCAAATGAGATTTTAATGTTATTTTGGTGTGCATGACAGCTTGGTATGGATTTTTATATAGACACACACACACACCTTTATACTTTTTTATGTTATTAGTTGTTAACGTTTTTCAAGTTGTACTGTTAACATTCATTTTGCCATCTGGGTGGGTGACATAAGAAATAATATATAAAAATACTTACTAAGTCTTATGATCCATGCTACACTTAACAAATAGTAAATTTTCTAATCCCAACAGAACAACTTGCTAATTCTCAGATCTTCCAAATATCAGAATTTACTTTTATTTCAGAATAATCATAGTCCTGACTCAAACTACTGTTAAATGGACTCTACTACTTTTTGTTTGTTTTTATATGGGTACAAAATGATTTTGTAGACTGCTAAGATTATGACTTGACAATAATTGCAAATGTATACATAGCCTAACTCCTTAATTAGTTTAGTTGAAGTTAACCTAACAGTGACTCCCCTGACTTCTGAATAATCCTTTAACATACATATATACATGTTGTTTAAACTTTTCTTTGTAGAAATTGTACAAACGTTTTGGTTTTTACTAACATAGTCAATGAAAACACTAGAAGAATACTATAGACTAAACTTGTAACACCTAATTACAAATAACAGTCAGTATTTATATTACAGAACAATACAACTCATATCATTTAGAACTAGCTCCAAGAAACATTTTAAATAGTGAAAGTGACATATGATGCTATATAACAGACTATAAGAAGATTACCATTAATAATACTGCAAAGTTTTTCAGTTTAACAAACAATGATGTAGGTTTTGGTTGTCTGAGCAAATATATATCATAGAACTATTTAACAAATCTGGTTTTGTGGCAGTTTTCAAACTTTAACCATTCAGTTATTTGAGGTAAATTGTATTAGAAAAGAATCGTGCAGTATGAGATGTTAATAATACTCTTTTCTTTAGTTACACATTTGTTTTCTGTTTATTTACAGCTCTACAGCTTGGAAGATTGCCACTAATGCAGAGTCCTCATCATGGCCAACAGCCACCACCCTTGTCTTCTCCACAGCAACAGGGTCAGCAGCAACCACAGGTGAGTTATTTATTTGTAGGTATGAAAATGTTTTTTTTTTATATCATTAGGCTGTACAAGATTTATGATATGTATATGCAAGAATCTTTTAATATTGTTACATTTTATATAGGCTTCAATAAATGTTTTTTTGGTATTTTTCCTTGAAAATCTCATTGGACATGACTTAACAAATTTTAAAAAGGGTAACTTATTTGCCTTCTAATTTTTGTTTATGAAGATATATCGTATTTATTTTGACTTGTTGTTCATGTTTCTTTATTGTTCGTCAACAGTCTCTTCCACTAGTTGGCATCTTTAATTTTGCTTTTTTTGCTAATATATATTTTAAATTTATAAGGAACTAAGTTTTAATGTTTGTATGTTTCTTTTAAAGGTTTAAAACATTTGGCACTGTCCTTTTATAAGTCTTGTCTTATTTTTCACCATTAAGTTTTTGAATATTTTCTACCCAAAAATTCTAAGACTAACTGTACACTTAGCAGATGCTCCTCATAAGGATATCGAGAATTATTCATAGTAATGGCTCTATAATTGATACTTTCTATTTATGAATATTTGGTTTTTTTTCCATAATTGTTCACAAAAATTGTGAGATGTATAATTTACAAACTTTCAAACATATATTTTCACACTAGTCTGTAAAAATACCATTCTATCCAACTAATTTTACTGAAAGTATTTTCTGCAAACTATTTATATGTTGTTGTATTGGTTGTTGCAGGGGCTTTCTTTTTTGTATACCAAATTTAACCAGGTGATCTTTTACAGAAACCATTAGAGGATTTAGTTAACTTGAGGTATAGATATGTTTATAAACAAGAGCAGTAATAATAGAAGATTTAGTCCTATTATTTAATCAATGGGTTGTACTGTATTTCTCATAGAAGTTCTTAATTCAGTAAAATAAACATCATTGTATGTTATATGTCATCTGATAGATTTTTTTTTTCAATAGAAAGTTTTATAGGTTGTAAAAACAAAAGAAAAAAGGCATATTTTATGAAAATTTTGAGAACTCGCCCACATAGATACATGTGGTTTTTACAATCATGACTTTATAAATAGGTGCAGGCCAGTTCAACTGGAACTCAGTCTCTTGCACAGAACATTGCAGCAGCTTCGATATCAGCAGCAGTTACCACTATGACTGGAGCTGTGAATAGTCAGCTAAACCTTCAGCAACAGCAGCAACAACAAAAACTAAGGCTTCACAGACTGCAACTGGAGCGAGAACGTCTTCGGCTCAGGCAGCAAGAAATACTTAGACAGGTAAACTTGACCATTATTATTGCAAGTACCTATCTTGTGGGTGCAGATCACCTGCATGAAAAAATTTTAATTTTGTGTTTAATACATTAGGTAGAGTCAACTTTTGAAAGTAGTGTATTTGAAATGTGAAAGTCTTGAAGCTTGATGTATTAAAATATATTTTTTCTCTGGTAATCAGTGGGAAATGTTTATTTACTTTGAGTTTATTTAACTCCTGTAAGTAGATACTGACTTCTTGAAAGTATATCCTTGAACAGTGAAAAACAATGCATTTCTCAACTTTGCAGTTGGCTCATATGCTTACGACTTATTTATTAAGAGGAGTAATTGTAAAGAACAGTATTACTTTTATCAATTATTTAAAATTAGGAACGACCCCCCATCTGAACATAACTGAGCTATTAATGTGTAAGTTAGAACATTAAATGAGCTTAGTAAAGGCCTAGTATTGTTATGACAAATGATTTTTTGTAGGAGAAACAATTTTTAAAGAAGTGGTTGGTAGCCTTTACACTCACCTAAGTTTAATTATTAATTAATAACCACTTTTTTTATAATTAGGCTTAAATTACTGTAGAGGCTGCTAATCATGACAACATTTGATATACGGTTGACACAACCCTAACATAAGTACTGGAGTCTAGCATGATTTTTAATAGATTAGTGTGTTTAGGTAGAGCAAGAAAATATATTGGTGAATACATGTTTCTCAGAACATGTATGTGACTCTTTTAATACTAATTATGGTTACGTTATTGATTGAGGATTTCCTAAATAGAAACAACATAGACTTTTCACTGTAAGAATTCATGTGTGAAACAAACTATTTATTTTCACTTACATTGGCTTTTGTAATAAAAGAATTTAGCTTTCCTATAAAAATGTCATGATATAAAATATACACACATTGTTTATATATAATTTTAAGACTTTAAACAAAAGCAAGTCTTCTTTTAGAGTAGGTTTAGGTGGTGTTTTTTTGCATCTTGGGAATCTAATGTAGATGAGAAAATACTTGATGTGTTTCATTTTCTTTTCATGAAAACTTGTTAGGTAATTTTCCATCCATAATAGATTCCTAAGATGAGCAAATCTTGTTAACTATATTACAGTTTCATATTTAGGTATTGTGTTTCGGTATGTAATTAGGCTGGTCTAGTATAACTGTTGTTATTTAAAGCAATGATGAGTAAGGTTATTCAGACTTACACAATATTAAAAATTAGTATGTATGTGTATATATATATATATATATATATATATATATATATATAA